GTAAAATACTGGTTAAGGGACCAGCAGTTAGCATAATGGCTATATCGCTGGTCTTCCATGTAGTCCACCACGGTTCGAGACCTGGTGGCTTAAACTCACGCCGGGCGTGTGAGAATGGAGAAGGGATTGCAGCATGGCCATCCCCCCTGGGGGTTGATTTCTCCCTTTCTCTCTCTCTCTGGCGAACACACACGCTCTATAGCGAAAACCTCACGGAAAAAAAAAAATACAGGTTAAAAAAACAGGTGGGCTAAGAGGGCCAGCAGGTGGCATGATGGTTAAGGATGCTGGACTCCCACATGGCCAACCGTGGTTCGAGTCCCAGACCTAGCAGCTTGCTTTCTCTCTCTCTCACTCATTCACTCACTCGCTCTGTCCCTCTCTGGTCAAATTAAAAAATAAAGTTTAATAAAACAATCCTTTAAAAAAAAAAAAGTGGGCTAAAAGACAACTGGTTGAAAACCTGAAGATCAGTTAAACCCCCATATCCTCTGTACTGCCAACCAACTCTCCTATCCTGGCAGAACTCCGGAGATTTATTCTCTGAAGTAGGTAAGAGAAGGTTTTTGGACTGATTAGTAACAATGAGGAAAAGAAATGAATTACAGTAGTTTACTTGTTAACATTCCTTAGCCTTCTTTTCCCACTGAGTCACAGTGCCAGCCACTTTTTACCCTTCAGGAAGAATGGAAGACCTCTCTGCTGAGTCTGATCAGCTTGAGAAAATAAAGAATACAGCAAATTGTTCCACAATAAAATGACACACAACACCTAACCTCAAGGCTGATAAGTTTCCCTTCCAGCATAACATATTTTCAACATTTACTGTAAAAATGTTGCTCTCCTAAATAGAAGCCAAGGATCATCAAATACCCGAGGAAAACTTTCTAACACGAAATAAGCTCAAACAAAGTAAATCACTTTAGAGGAAACAAATTTTTAAATAATGGTAACCTTAAAGACGAGAAAAAGATGGGTCGATGTACGATAAGTTCGCTATTTTTAACACTGCCGGGTAGAGGAGCCTTGGAAATTAAGAAGTGACTGAAACTTAACTTGACAACCCAAAAAGAAGTTCAAATGTCAAGTATTAGAGAATAAAGACTGGGGTGGTGAATGGGGTTAAGAAAAATCTATTGGGTAACATTTCTCAGATAAGAAAAACAAGCTCACACAATGACAAGGCCCAGTGAATGCCCAGCACAACAGATGAAATAATCCTAATAATGAAATGTAAAAACATCGGCTAAAAAGGTAAAATCTTAAGTGGTTTTTAAGAGTAAAAACATTTCACATTTAAGATCAATTCAAAATAACATCAAGGGGCCAGCAGGTTGCATAGTGGTTAAGGTGCTGGACTCCCACATTTCCTAGACCCAATCAATGGCCTGTAACTCAAACCAGGTGCATATGCCTGCTTGCCCAAAACCCAAAGGGAGAACGGAGAGGGGATTGAAGCCTGGCCAACCCCCCTGAAGGGTGATTTCTCACTTTTTTTCTGTCTCTCTGGTGAGCACACAGGCCATAGAGTATCCTCCCCTACTCCCCCCCCCCCCCAAAAAAAACCCAAGAAACAAAACCCACCAAACCTAAAATTCTGTATCCATCAAACTAGTAATCCAGTTAAGAGGGCCAAGATTGACTTTTTAAGACAGGAAGGTATCAAACCTACTGAAAGATGTGCTGTACCGGAATAAAGCCAACCGTGAGAGCTAGGAAACAAAGGACCTAAACTGAGTGGCAAAGAGAATCTCATGGACCAGCAGTTGGCATAACGGCTATGTCACTGGACTCCCATGCAGTCGACTGCAGATCCAGGGCTTTAAATACACGACGGGCACATGTGGGTATGTGCCCAAGATCCCAAGATGAGAATAGAAAAAGGACTACGGGCGTGGCCATCCCCCTGTGGGGGTTGATTTCTCCCTTTCTGTTTGTCTCTTTCTGGTGAATGCATGCGCCCTACAGCAAAAACCCCCCCCCCCCCAAAAAAAAGAGAGAACCTCAGAGGGATGCCAAAAGCCAAACTCTAGTTTATTATAAATATTGAAAGGCCACTAGTAGATCAGAGCAGAATATGAAAAAACATCAAGAAAACCATGAAGCTGCTAACTACCAGATTTGTACAAATGAAAAAAATTTTATTTCTGTGTTGAGTTTGGAAATACACTGATACGCAGTAAAATATTTATCTAGGTCAAAAAAATAAGGCCTGAAATGGATCCGAGAATAGCACTTTAAAATATGTGACTTAGTTAGCTATTGGGAATTAGGTTAACTTGTTCTCTCAACTCTTATAAGCATAATTCTTTTAAAAAGTGGGAATAATCTACAAAATTTAAACAATTACTGGGGTCAAACAAATCTGGAGTTATTACTCTCGTTTTTTTATCCATTAAATATCCTCAAAATATGGGACTTGGAGAAATTTCTAAATTAATCTGGTAGGGATCAGATGCCAGCTGGAAGGTATGATGTTCTGTGAGGCTGACTTGCTGGAAAGGCTGCTTTTGCAGGCAGAGACCTCTCTTAGTGCATCTAGTACAAACAGGCCCACTACAAGGGGCAGGCTGAAGCTAGGAGTGGATCTTGGTTATCAGAGCCCTGTTGAGGGTATGCGGCCTCTTGTTCACAGAAAAAAATAACTTTAATAATCTGGTAGTATTTCACCTTCTTTAGCAATGCTGAATCTATTTTCATCCAATCAGCTTTAACCTTCTTTCAAAATTCTTAATGTGGGATTATTTACAGAAAATAAATCTTGTGCTTCTATTATGACATGCAGAAGACTCTAACAACCACAACACAAACTGTTCTCACTGATTTAGATTAGGGGCAGCAAACTTATTTTGCATAGCTGAGAAGTCAAATCCTAGATCAAACTGAACTCTACAAAATCAAGAAAAGGCTAATCACTACACTCTACTATAACATTATTAGATTCTCATGTTACTATTTTTCTAGTTAAGTTTTCAACAACCTGGTTTGAAGTCACTAACTAAACAGGGTCTTAAGTTACCACACATTAACATACCCTAGAGCAATACTACAAAGTACTTCCCATCCAAGTTGATGGCATCAATTCCCTGAATTCTAAAGTTACCAAGAACCTTCCAACTCAAAGTCTATCAATCTGTACAATTTTACTAATAAATGACAGAAGAAACTATTCTGACTTAATACTATCAGGCTCTTGGCAATACTTTCTTAGAATGACTCAAAACTCCTAAATATACCTTCAAATCCTACTCTGGAATATCTCAAAATCCTAACCCCAAAATACAAAAACAAAAACACTTTCAAGAAATCAGGACTAAAATCATTCAAGCAATTAAGCACACACACACAGGGTATACATTTCTTTAATCCTCCCCTCTACAACTTGAATATCCATGAAATCTAAGTTCACCACAGCTCTAAAAATCTCTCTGAACTAATTCATTTCTATTTTAACAGATTTTCTTAAATCCTTATTAAATGAAAGCATAAAACATTAAATATTTTGTGCAAAAGGGTTCTTGCACATTTACCCCGACTTGTTTTATAAAAGCACGATACAGATTAGGCAGAAATCGGGTATTGAGAAAAGTATTCGTATAAATCTTAATGACTACATAATCAGTACTGAGACAACCAACAAACAAATCAACTATATGAAGTTGTTTCCAATCTGCACATGGTGGACACACTTAACAAGTCAGATTTTGCTAAAAACATTTAAAGATCTCACCGCAAAATTAAAATTAACTATGTCCTCAATTTGAATTAAGGTTTATTACCATCTTCCAATTTATGCTTCTAAATAACTTGAATTCATGGCAAATTTAAATATCCCTCAAATTTTCCTATTCTGATGATAAAAGAGGCAATACATTTTTATACAAAAGGATTTATTAAAAAACCAGTAAGACACTACTACATCATGACACTGTCACACTGGGCTTTTAACACAAGACTTGCTCTACAATACTGGGGGGTAGGGCATAAAACACAAATTGATTCTGAAGCATAGCAATTAAGAAATAAACAATGAAAGCAAATTTCTTTTAATGAGAACTCAGAATTAAACTTCAGAGGGACCCAACGTCATACTTCCATTCAGGGACTTGATACAAAAAATTTAGTTTGAACTGCTATTAGCAGGTGGCAGGAGCCACCTTCAAATGAATCCTCAAATTGGAAAATACTGCTTCACCACCTGGAGACAAAGAAGATGAATTCTAAAGTTACCAAGAACCTTCCAACTCAAAGTCTATCAATCTGTACAATTTTACTAATAAATGACAGAAGAAACTATTCTGACTTAATACTATCAGGCTCTTGGCAATACTTTCTTAGAATGACTCAAAACTCCTAAATATACCTTCAAATCCTACTCTGGAATATCTCAAAATCCTAACCCCAAAATACAAAAACAAAAACACTTTCAAGAAATCAGGACTAAAATCATTCAAGCAATTAAGCACACACACACAGGGTATACATTTCTTTAATCCTCCCCTCTACAACTTGAATATCCATGAAATCTAAGTTCACCACAGCTCTAAAAATCTCTCTGAACTAATTCATTTCT